AGGCGAAGCTGCGTGGGCGGGCGAAAGAAAATCTCCTGTGGCTGAGGCGCGGCCGGACCAAATGTGTCCCTTCCGGGCGGCCGGGGGCCCGCAGTGTCCCACTGGTGTCCCGTGTGGCTGAGGCGCGGCCGGACCAAATGACTCCCTTCCGGGCGGCCGGGGGCCCGCGGTGTCCCGCCGGTGTCCCGCTGTCCCGTCGGTGTCCCGATGATGCTGATGATGATGATGATGTTGTTGATGATGATGATGGTGATGATGATTGTTGATGTTGTTGATGATGATGGTGATGATGATGTTGGCGTTTGGTTTTGATTATCGATAGTGATATCGATAGTGAGGCCGAATGTGATATCGATAGTGAGATCGATAGTGATATCGATTGTGAGATCAAGCGGGGGACCGAGTGTCATATCGATTGTGAGATCGATTGTGAGATCGATAGTGGTATCGGTAGTGAGATCGATTGTGAGACCGACTGGGAGATCGATCGTGCGATCGTTTGTGATATCGATCGTGAGATCGACAGTGGGACCGAATATGAGAATGATTGTGGGATCTATTGTGAGATCGATTGTGATATTGATAGTCATATCGATTGTGAGATCGATCGATTGAGATTGATAATGAGATCGATAGTGAATTCGATAGTGATATCGATGGTGAGACCGAATGTGAAATCGATTGTGAGATCGGTTGTGATATCGATAGTGACACCGGTAGTGGGACCGAATGCAGGATCGATCATGAGATCCAAAGTGAGTTCGGTAATGAGATCGATAGTCATATCGAATGTGCGATCGATTGTGATAGCGATTCTGAGATCAATAGCGAGACCGAATGTGAGATCGATAGTCAGATCGATTGCGGGATCGATCGATTGAGATCGATTGTGAGATCGGTTGTAAATTCGATAGTGAGATCGATCGAGTGCGACGTTGGTCCCTCCCCCCCTCACCTCCTTATCACCCGAAGGGTGGTCGTATAGGTACATATTTATGTGTATATATATGTATATATATGTATATATGTATGTATTCTGCACACTCGCCCATCCGAAATATGAAATCGTACCATCCCAGGCAGGCCGGTTCCCCCCCCCGAGGGTCCCTCGTAAAAAAAACAATATGCGGATACTTTTTTGTTCTAACATAGCACTTTTTCGCGAATCCCTTGCAAAACATGGGACGAAGTTTGCACGCGCGCGTCGTCGCACGCGCATGTCGAAATCCTTCAAAAACCTTCGGTGCCGGAAGGATTTCGCAATCGAGTTCCCAAACAAACAACACACAAAAACACAGGGTTTCGCAACACTGATGTGCTAAAAAAACTTCCGCGCGAGCTCTTGCGAAATCTTAAGAAAACCATAAGTTTTTTTTTTCTGTTCAAGATGTTCACAAAATGCTTCCAAACGGGCTTCGCGCGCGCGCATGTCAAAATCTGTCGAACGCCCTTGCGCGTGTGCCGTCGCGAGAATCCTTTGCAAAAAACGGGACGAAGTGCAGACGCGCGCGTCGTCGCGGGCGTATGCCGAAAACCTTCAAAACCCATCGGTTTCGGAAGGATTTCAAAATAGTGCGTCCAAAAAACATACACAAACCCAAAGTTTTGCAACACGGATTTTCAACAAAAGCGTGCGCGCGCGCTCTTGCGTCGTCGTCGTCGTCGTCGTCGCCGTCCTCCCTCCTCCCGCGTCGTCGTCGACGTCGTCGTCGTCGTCGCCTACGTCGTCCTCTGTCTTTTCTCGTGTTCGTCGTCGTCGTCCTCTTTGGCGTCGTGGTCGTTTCCGTCGTCGTTGTCGCCGTGGTCGTCCTTCCTCCTCCTCCGTCGTCGTCGTCGTCGTCCGTCGTCGGCGTCTCGTCGTCGTCCCTCCTATTTCGTCGCCGTCGTCGTCGTCGTTGTCGTCGTCGTCTTCCCTCCTCCCTCGTCGTTGTCGTCGTCGGCGTAGCCGTCCTTCCTCCTTCGTCGTCGTTCGCGTCGTCGCCGTCCTCCCTCCTCCCTCGTCGTTGTCGTCGTTGTCGTCGTTGTCGCCGTCGTCGTCCTTCCTCCTCCCTCGGCGTCGCCTTCGTTGGCGTCGTCGTCGTCGTCGTCTTCGTCGTCGGCGTCGGTGTCGTCGTCGAAGTCGTCGGAGACGTCGTCGGTGTCGTCCTAATCGCTGTCGTCGGTGTCGTCGTAGTCGGTCTTAACAGGTTTTGCAAACCAAGTTGCGGGTGGGTGGGTGTGATGTTTGCGTGAGCAGTGGAGAAGGCAATTTCAAGACAGTCGAAATGGGTTGCACAACATAGGTTGTACCATTTCTACCATCCCTTTTAACAGGAAAAGGAATAAACTCTACCCCCGGATTATCGACCCCCCTTCTCGTTTTGCAATTTACATATGAATCTGCCCCGTCGCCCATCTTAAATATGAACTCGTACCATCCTAGCCCAACCGGTATCGACCCCCCCCCTCGTCCCCTGGAAAAAAACACTCTGCGCGCACACTGGCTATCAGAAGTCACAAGTGTCCAAGAATCCTTTGCAACATATGTGACGAAGTGCGCACGCGCGCGTCGTCGCGCGCGCATGCCGAGATCCTCCAAAAACCTTCGGCTTCGGAGCGATATCGAAATCGAATATACGAAAAACCTATAAAGCACATGGTTTCGCAACGCGGATGTTCAAAACAAGCGTGCGCGCTTTTGCGAATTCTGAACAAAACCGTTGGTTTTTGAGCATTTTCAAAAAATGCCACCAAACGGGCTTCGCGCGCGTATGTCGAAGTCGTTCGAACGCCATCGCGCGCGCGCCGTCGCGAGAACCCTTTGCAACTGACGACGCGCGCGTGTCTTCACGCGCGCATGATGGAATCCTTAAGTCGGTTCCATAGCGGTTGCAAAACCGAGCGTCCAAAGAACATTCAAAAACACACGGCTCTCGCAACGTGACTCTTCAAAAAACAAAAAAGCGAGCGCTCGCGCTCTTGCGACTTCTTGGGGGGGCCAAGGGTTTTTCAATATTGGCGTGAAATTCTGCCAAACGGGGCCTGGCGCAGCAAGCCGACGCGATGACGCCGTCATCGTCGCCGGCGCGATCAGCATCGGCGCCGTCGTTGGCAGTGCCGTCGTCATCGCCACCATCGTCACCATCATCGTTACTCCCATAATCGTGTCTACCGTTGTCGGCGTTGCCATGATACCGAGCCCGCCCAAGTCGCCGACTCGCAGTGCAGTGCCCGCTGGGATGTACCCAGCGGTCATCGCCACCGCGGCCGCGTCGGTGGCGCCAAACTAGCTGGCCGCCGCGCGCGCGTGCTAGGGTTGGCGCGGCCGCAGCGATGCACAAGCCAACGCCAAGCATGCATCGTAATCGCCACCGCATGGGTTTTGCAAACCAAATTGCGGGTGGGTGGGTGGGATGTTTGCAAAAGCGCGGGGTGTGGCAGCTCGATTGTTAAAGCCGATTGCACCACGCAGACTGCACCGCATATGTTGCATTGCACAGGTTGCACCGCGTAGACTGCACCTCGTATATATTGCGCCGCATATGTTGGATCGATTGGATTGCATTACGTAGGCTGTACCGCGTAATCTGCACATCATATATTGCACCGCGTAGGTTGCATTACATAGGATGCACCGCGTACTGCACCACACACATGTATATGTATGTATGTATGTATGTATGTATGTATGTATGTATGTATGTATGTATGTATGTATATATGTGAACATGCATATATATATATATATATATATATATATATATATATTGCACCGCGTAGACTGCACCGCACGTGTTGCATTACATAGGTTGCACCGCATACATTGCACCACGTAGATTGCCCTGCGCCGACTGCAAGAACCTACTGTTTGGGGCCCACGCTGGCGAACATTACTTTCTATGTTTCTTAACTTCTATCAAAAAGAGAAACAAAAAGGAAGACCCTGTCGGCGTGTGCGAACGGCTGTTTCGTTTGACTCGTCATCGTCGTCGTCGTCGCCGTCGCCTTTGCTCCCTGTTCCCTGTGTCCTCCTCAGTAGGCGCGCCAGCCAAAGCGTAACAGCCCAAGCGAAATTGACCAACGTCGTAATTGAGTCGAAGCCCTTCTCTTTGATCCCGTCCCCGCCAGTGGGGGGGGAGGGCCCCAGGGGGAGTAGGGGTTGGTCCCGAGTTTGGGGGGGTTCAGGTCAGAATGCCATCCCCCCAGGGGGTCCCCACGAAGCCCCCAAGAGGCCCCCCAGAGGCCCCAAGGCGCCACCAATGAACCGCCAGGAAGCCCCAGGAGGCTCCCAAACGGCTCCCAAGACACCCCAAAAATTTCGTGTGGGTTCTTGGGCACCTCTTGGGGCCTCGTGTAGCCTCTTGGGCACTCTTGAGAGCGTCTGGTCCCGACCTTCCCGAATGCCTCGTCCATCGTGTGGCTCGTTGTCCAGGGTCGGCGGCACCGGCCGCAAGGCCTTAGCAATAAAGACTTTCAAAGTGTCAGTCCCAAGTCAAACCGCACGTTCTCCAGATCGGTGTGCGGGCAACTCCACGGTACACACCGACGGCAAAATCGGAAAATGGACGCGGCATCCTGGAAGGCTGGGGCTGGATTCGCTGGGACTCGCATGCATAGCGCGTATCCTCGGTCTGAGGACTGTCCTGCTGGTGCCCAGAAACTCAGGTCGCGGACACCAGGCTGCTCATGGCGAGGGAGGAGGGGAGGAGGAGTGGGACAGAGGCCCGCCTTGGGAAACGGCGGGTCCTGGGGCCCTTCGAATTCGAAGGCGGGGATCTCTTCGGCAGTCGGGCCGCTAATAACGCGCACACGCGCACACGCACACGCACACGCACAAACATGTAACGGTCTGACGCCCGAGCTCAAATCTCACTTCTCGCATGGCCGGGCTCTGCCCCCGCGGGGCATGGCCACTTACGCCACGCAGACTCGAATGCGGCTGGAGCCTCGCGGGTCAACAAAATCCCCCTCCTCTCTCCTCCTGCTCCTGTTCCTCCTCCTCTCTCTCCTCCTGCCCTAGCCTCCATGATAATTTTCTTTTTGTCCTCGAGCTTGCTGTGATCCAGCATATGCTGGATCACGTAGTTGCCGTAGCTGTCCTGTGCTGGTGGATCGGAACGCAGAGCAGCAGCAGAAGCGAGACGGCCCTCTGGGAAGGGCAGGCGCACGAAAGAGGGAGGAGAGAAAGAGCAGGGGAGGGATGGAGATGGGGAGGAAGCACTCTGGAGAGGAGCAGGAGGGGGAGGAGGAGGACGAGGACGGGGCGAATAAGCACAAGAGGAGGGGTAGGGAGGAGGAGCTGGCGAAAGAAGCGTGAGAGAAAGAGCAGGGGATGGATGGAGATGGGGAGGGAAAGTGATGAAGAGGAGCAAGAGGGGGAAGAGGACGAGGACGGGGCGAAGGAGGACAAGCGGAGGGGGAGGGGCGAGGAGCTGGCGGAAGAGGCGTGGCGGAACCCCTGGAGAAGCAGCGGCGGGGAGGATGTGTCGAACGGCCGAACGCCAGCCAGACAAAACATAAACAGAAACAGTGATAGAGATGACGGTACATCCATAGAGAGACATATATAGATGGAAAGACAACGCATGTCCAGATGCACACGCCTGTCTACAACCCTTTGTTCATACACACATCTATAGAGAAAGATATAGAGAGAAAGAAAGGGAGGGAGACGAAAATATGGAATGCGCAAATGGGGTTGATATGCATACGCGGAATATGGAATGCACGGCAGTGTGATATAGAATGAGACACAGTAAGGATGCGAACACATCTGGAAATGCATAGTGAGAGGGAAGTGGGGTGCGGAACAGACAGGGAAGAGAAGGACAGAGAAAGAGAGAGAGAGAGAGAGCAAAAGAGAGAGAGAGAGAGAGAGAGAGAAAGAGAGAGAGAGAGAGAGATAGAGAGAGACATAGGAATGCAGAGCGACAGAGAGAGAGAGAGAGAGCACCACGTGGGGGAATCAACATAAAGAGACAGACAGAGACATATACAAACAGAGAAAGAGAGATACAGAGATACAGAACTAATAAGCGAAAGACATTGAAAGATCCACCTATACGTATGTACGTGTATATACTGATACCTGCAATTGCGCTTACTGATATATATATATATATATATACAACAAATGCGAAGACAGGGGTGTTCAAAAACGTGGTGCACGCAATGTCATGGGTCATGGCATCACCGTCAACGCTCCCCACGGAAAAGCAGCACGGACACCACAACGTGTACAGACCGGTGCGCGTTCGGGGAGGCGGCCGGCTCCGTGGGAGAAGACATGGACCTGGAATGGGGGCCACATGTGAGCCCTACCCCCCCGCCCCCCACGATGTCTGAGGGAGGGGGGGGGTCACTTCGCACGGGAGGTCCCGAGCGGAGTGAACCTCCATCCTCCCCGGGGGTGTCGGGGGGTAGGGTTCACGTGTGGCCACTGGCCTGGGGAATCGGCGATGCACCGCTGGCAGATCAGCGATTGGGCCCCCGGAGTTGCCGGCTCTCCGCACGGTCCAGGGCGACGAGCAGTCGGTCGGGCCCCTGGTCGGCGATGAGTGGGCGGCCGAGGACCGACGCGCCCCCCCCCCCGCTGATGGGATGCACGGAGACATACTAGTACGATATTCAGGAGGGAAGAAACACGGACACAATTAGTCGTCGATTCCGCAAAAATATGATAAGATATGAGAAGTGGGGGGGACAACAAACAAACACAGAAAATATTGGAAAATATAGGGAATCCGGTTATGTCTATTTATGTGTGTCCCAGGGCCCCTTAATTTATTTCCTCCTTGGAGGCGCGCGTCCGATCCGAATGTATAGTATACCCATCTTGTAGTTGATCTTTTCCCGAGCGGTGTGGCCACAAAGCGCCCGCTACGGCGCAGATGTACTTTAAGATTTCTCGGTGCGCACGTCGCCCCTGGGGGGGCGACGCACGCATAGTATTGGTATGTTGGTATGACGCCGATCTGAGCCTATCCTATCCCACGCGGAAACAACTGCTGGGAGGTTTTCGTCGAAGGACTGGGGAGAATGACCCCATTGGGGTGGTTTCCTGCGCCGGACTGAGCCGCGGATGAGGCGGGGTTAAGCCAGGCTAAGCAGGAATAAACCCGACTGAGTGGGAATAAGCCGGATTTCGGGCCAGGGTAAAGTCAGAACTAGATCTCCAAGGAGCTGCATCCAAATGAACCCATCCCGCCTAACCTTGCCCCTGAAGGAAGATGAGCCCGAATGCTGGACGACGGGCGCGAGCGCTGGCCGCGCCTGGCAGGCTTGCGCGCCAGTGCAGGGCTGCAGAATCCTCTGTGGGCGGTGCGTCCCTTACTGGAGGACGCCAACTGCAAACCCACACCGAGCAACCGCACCGATGGATAATGGATACGTTGACATCCGCGAATATCGGGGATGGACAGAACCCCCTTTAGTAAAACGTGGTTTAGTGAGAACGACCTCGGGCCCAAACCTGGCGGGCGCAAACCTGGAAAATGACGGCCGCGGCGCCCTCTCGAGAATCGAAAACGCACAATGCACTAATCGACGTGTCAGGGGGGGGGGTTCTGTCCACCCCCGATAATTACATGTTTATCTTTTCTTTTGTAGCCAGCCGCAGGCGAGCGCGCCGACGACGTATGTTTTTTACAATGCGCGGCCCCAAAAATTCCGACCCCTTCACCCGGGTCAACTTTCCGGCACATTTGCGCGCGCCGACGCTGCATGAACCCGCCGTATAATTATTTCCCTCCGACCCCCTCCGGGACCGGCTTTTCGTCCTGAGCCGCTTTTTGACTGAGCATCGTTTAACCGATCCCCATCCCCAGCGGCGTGGCCTAAGCCCCTCTAGCCGATTGAAACCCCTGGATGGGGACATAGGCAGCGCCCTTCGGGTTCCAAGAGGTGTATCCCCAACTTGGGTGGTACTTTGGAGGGGGGGGCTCCAAGGCGGTGGGGATGGGGATGGGGATCGGTGAAACGATACCGATTGGCGGCCCCTGCACCCAGCGAGGGCCCCACAGGCCGAAAACAAAACAGCAGCCTCCCGCCGTGACGTCTTCACGCCTAGAGGGGGTCTGGGCAGTTGGTACCCTCCGACCTTCCCAAGTGCGAGGCGGGGAAAGATATAAGTATATATATATATATATATATATATATATATATATGTATATACTTATTTATCTATTCCCCAATCAGAGCTCTGCCTCGTCAGGGGTCCTAGCGGATTCATATGGTTAGGTTAGGTTTATCGCCGATTTTCGCTGCACGCCTGGGTGCCCAGTGCCCAGGTGCCCGGGGGTGCCCGGGTGCCCGGGGGGGGCCCGGGGATGCCCGGTGGTGCCCGGGTGTCCGGGTGGCGTGCCCAGGGGTGCCCGGGGTTCTCCGGGGGTGCCCTATAGCCCTATAGCCCTAAGCCCTATAGCCCTATAGCCCTATAGCCCAATCGCCAAACAACCCTATAGCCCTACAACTCTATAGCCCTATAGCTCTATAGCCCTATAGCTCAATAGCCCTATAGCCCTGATTGGAGCTTTTCTCCTGCATCACACACATATGTGTGTATATCTATATATATATATATATTGTCAAGGGTTTGCCCCCCCCCAATGCTAATGCCATCGGGCCCCCCCCCCGCGCGATGCCCCCCCCCCCGGTGGGCGTGGGCGTGGCGTGGTGGCTCCCACCCCCCCCTCTGGATATGGTGTGGGTGTGGTGTGTTGCTGTGGGTGTGTGTGTGTGTGCGGGGTGACGCCACGGTCCTCCTCCCCCCATCCCTCCTCCCCTGTGGGTGCGATGTGGGTGCGGCGTGTGCACGGCTGGGATTGGCGTCATGTTGACAGCTCCGGTGCTCGACGTCGTCGCCGCCGCCGCTGGTGGTGCCGTCGACGTCGTCGTCGTTGTCGTCGTCGTCGTTGTCGTCGTCGTTGTCGGTGTCGTCGTCGTCGTCGTCGTCGTCGTCGTCGGCATCATCGTCGTCGTCGTCGTCGTCATCGTCGTCGTTGTCATTGCCGTCGTCCTCCTCCTCCTCTCCTCCTCCTCCTCCTCCCCCATCCCTCCATCCCATCTGGGGGGGGGGGCCCGAGGACCCTGGGACCCATCCCATCGGGGGGGGGGGGCCCGAGGACCTGGAGCACGCGATCACATATATATATATATATAGATAGGGTCGCCCCCCCCCAGCACCCCCAAACCACAAAAATCGCAAAACCTTCCTTGATCGTTCGCTCGTCGTCGTCATCCTCCTTCTTCTCCTCCTCCTCCTCCTACGCTGTGTGTTTCCAGCTTTTCCAGCTTTGCCAAGAGACTGCCCGAGACTACACTACCACATCTTCCGCCCGTGGAACCGACGTCCTGGGCCCGTCGACATGGATATACAGTTGGGCCCCGTTGGGGCCCGAGTTATAGACCCACCGCCTGCCGATCGGCGGCGAGAGAGGGAGGGGGAAGCGAAAAGGAGAAGGCCCTCAGAAGGGCAACGAAAGGGGGGACTGGCATAGGGGGGGAAGCATCGACCTGGAATCGGCGACACATCGCCGATATATCGGCGATAGGCCTCCGATGATGAATCCGCACCTTCCTGGGCAGGTTGGGACTATCGGGCCCCATGTCGGCGATCAATGGGCGATGGGGGGTCGATGTATCCCCCCCTATGCCTATCCCCCCTTATCGTTACCCCTGAGGGAAGCGAGAAGGAGAAGGCCTTCTCAGAAGGTTCGGGATTCCCCCAGCCTTCTGAACAACCTTCTGAACAATCTTCTGAACAATCTTCGGGATTCCCCCAGCCTTATCGTTGCCCCTGAAATGCGAATACCATAGAGGCCGTTCCTGGGTCGAAGAGCGACGCCGCTGCGGGAGACGCCAGCGCGGTACCGTACACACAGGTCGCCCGCGGAGCAAGAAGCCTTCGGAGCTCCGCGCTGGCTGAGCCAGGCTCACGTCGCCGAGGCTCGAACCTGAATGTCTTCCGACATGTTCTGGTGCAGAGCCAAGGAAAGGACTCTTTGGCTTGGCTGGACTTTGAAGCGCACTTGAGGACCATAGCGAAAATCCCACCAGCCCTTTGGGCGTGAGTGGTTTAGCGAGCTCTCTCTGTCCTCAACCCCCCTTCTTCCCCTTCGTGGAGGGGTTTACCCCTCCCCCTACCCCCTCCCCCTGGACCTGGAGAGTGGTGGCAGGGGGGTCTTTTTCGAGTCCTGGGAGGGCCAAAAAACGACGACCCTCACGAGGATTCTGGCCCCGGGGGGGGGAGGGAGTTTGGCCCCTCTGCTCGTCTTTGAAGCCAAAATCATTGGTTTGACTACGGTTTTGGCCCCATTTGGGCGTCCTGAGGGGGCCGCGCTCATCTTCCTTCATAGCAAAATCATTGATTTTACGAAGGTGTTGGGCTCATTTTGCCTTTCTCAGGGGGCAGCTCTCATTTGCGCTTCTGAGGAGGTCGCAAGAGGCCCCAAGATGGCCCCCAGAGGCCCCCAGGAGGCTCCCAAGAGGCCTCCAAGAGGCCCCCCGGAGGCTCCCAAGCGGCCCCAAGGGGCCCCCAAGAGGCCCCCAAGAGGCCCCCAAGAGGCTTCAAGAGGCCCCAAGAGGCCCCCAAGAGGCTCCCCAGAGGCCCCCAAAAGGCCCCCAAGAGGCCCCAAGAGGCTCCAAGAGGCCCCCAAGAGGCCCCACGAGGAGCCCGAACGACTCACACCAGGACGAGGGGCCCGAACGACTCACACCACGAAGAGCCCGAACGACTCACACCACAAGGAGGGGCCCGAACGACTCACACCAGGACGAGGCGCCCGAACGACTCACACCACGAGGAGCCCGAACGACTCACACCACGACGCGGGCCCCGAACGACTCACACCACGAGGAGCCCGAACGAGTCACACCAGGAGGAGGGGCCCGAACGACTCACACCAGGATGAGGGGCCCGAACAACTCACACCACGAGAAGCCCGAACGACTCACACCAGGACGAAGAGCCCGAACGACTCACACCACGAAGAGCCCGAACGACTCACACCAGGAAGAAGGGCCCGAACGACTCACACCAGGACGAGAAACCCCAAACGACTCAAATCACGAGGAGCGCTTTCTCTCCCTCCTCCTCCGCCTCGTCCTTCTCCCGCTCCCCCCACAAGGAGGATGTACAAGGAGGCGGGAGGAAGGAGGAACAGGGGAGATATGCGGGGCCAAGCGGACACACGCCTGAAAAACACGACTGTCGGCATGCTTCGCAAGAGTTGCTGCTGTGAGATGGGCTGGTGGGGATACGCGAAGCGTAAAGAATTCCACTGCGCTAGGGAGGGTTACTCCTCGGATCTGCGCTGGGCCCACCTCCCTGGGCGCGCAGGGCGCGCCAAGGGCAGCGCCGGGGGCGCCGCCAGGGGGGGCCCAGCGCGGATCCCAAAAATCCACGCCGAGCTCCGAAAATGTATAGTCGCCCGACCACAAGAGACCTTCCACGAGAAACCCAGCCCTGAGACCCCAGGACGTCCACGGATTTTTGGTGTGGGATCGTCGCGCTCTCAACGGCGAGAGCGCCGAAACCCAAGAAACCAAAGGCACCCTGGAGGCAAGCAAGGTGTTTCTCGGCATGGATCTCCACTGTACGAATACAGTCGGGGCGTTGACCTAAGGAACCCTAAATAAGGAACGAGGCCCCTTTTTTCCATAAGTTAAACTTCGTTTTCCGATCGAAAACAGAAGGAAAACCTGAGGCAAGCTGTGAAACACTGAAGGAACGCGGAGCCCCTCCCCAACCAAAAGAGTTCCTTCTTCGGGGCCCCGACTGTATTCGCTGGCAGCTCGTGGGAGCCTCCCGTATTGCAGTGCCGGCTCTTGCGAACCGACGCTGAATCGACGCCAAGTCGGCGCGAATCGACGCTGAATCGGCACCATCTCATCGATTGCCAGACGCCGATCGACGCTGATGCACCCTGCAGACATTATCACGAGAGTGCGCACGGCTCCCATGATCCCTGCCGAACAAGTATCCCGAACTCGTAGCGTCGTAGCTTTTTTGGTTCAAGCGCCTGGGCAAGCGTAGCCACGGCCTCACACCTTAACTCGTGAGGCGCCGAACCGTTTGACATAGCCTTGAGTCGTACCGCAAAAACATCACGGTCAGAAGAAGTGGGTACAGACATGAACCGGGCGTATGCTAACATGGATTACGGATCCGTAGAACTGGCGCGTGGGCGCCAGATCCATGGATCGGGGGAAGTAACCCCCGCAGCATGGCTCCAGCGCCGCTTGACTTGGCGACGGAGCACGCCGAGTTGGTACTAGCATTCGGTCGGGCATGCCCCCCTATAGGCGGGGTGTGGACGAAAACAGAAAAAGTAGCCCCAAAAAAAGACTACAGCACAGGCAGACATACTCCAAACATCGCCCCCTGGCCATTCGTGACTATTTTTGGAGATGCCTCCTGTGAAGGGACGTGCCCGACGTAGTACCAGCATGGAAGCGAGCGTCTGTCCCGACGCTCGGCCTTCGGGGCCCGCTGGCGGGCCCCCGGGGCGGTCATTCTGGGGGCCCCAGAACTTGCCGTCGCTCGGACGTCCATTGCCCGTGCATTTTTCGATGTCGTGCGTGTTTTTGTTTTGCTCGATGGTCCAGGATGGTCCTCGATGGTTCTCGCCGAGAAAAAATGCACACGTCCGAGCAATGCCAAGAGAACCGTGTGGCGACAGACCTGGCGGTGGCCTCGAAAACCCGCAGAGGCATCACCGCAGGGTCCGTCACCGCACGGTCTTGGGACCTGGGAGGCCCCAGTCGCCCGAGGCACCCTCGGAGAACGGTCCGAGGCCCAACACCGTGCGGTGACCCCGAATCCCCACCGACTCACCACACGGTGCGGTCACCACGCCGTTCGGGGGGCCCCGAAAAAAACGGCTTCGGGGCGACAAACTGACTCTGGGGAAGGGGTCGGGAACTCTGGGGCCGCGCATTGAACAAATCACATCGCCGGATGTCAGGGCACTCATCGGTCGGAAGAAGTGGGTAGAAACATGACGCACAAGGATTGGACGTGAAGAAACAAGAAGCACACGCATTGAGTGCCCGCCCGCAGAACAGCGCCTGAAGTAGCTTGGAACCTGGTAACCTAGAAACACACACACTTTCTAACAGGGGATGTGTCGACCCCTGTCCTAGGCTTCGTGGGGTTCGAGTGGACCAAAAACTGGCGGCCCAATCCTGGGATACACGAGGGGGGGGCGTCCATCCTCGGTAGGGGTGCGTCCGAATAGCCCCTCTGGGGGTGTATCCCAAGGTGTCCCTCCATTTCTTAGCCGCTCCATTTTTCGTCGAACAGTCGGGGGTTGGGATAGAAACATCGCCTGCGACGTTCGGCGGTGGACAAACCTCCCTTTAATAAACCACACCTTCGTGAAAACGGCCTAGGACCGAAACCGACGGAACTGGACCCGCAAACATAACGGCCGTGACGCCCTCCGCGAACCGAAAACGGCCAGATCACTGATCGACGTGTCAGGGTAGGAGGCCTATCAAACTCCGAAACTTTCAACGAGCTGGGGAAGCCAAAAGGTACCGATACTCCCCGGGACCTCTCCTGGGGTGCGTTCCGACCAAGACTTCGAGGCGAATCCAACGGTGGCGACGAGGGCCTCCCAGGAGGCGAAACCGGGCGAAGGGTAGCGGCATGAGTACCTTTTCCTCCTGACACTAAAAGGTAGCGATACCGCTACTTCCTGGACCTCCCCTGGGGCGTGTTCTGACCACGATTTCGACTCGAATCCAGCGGTGGCGACGAAAGCCCGCCAGGAGCCCACAGAAAGGGAAACTGCTGGCGTGCCGGCCCGTCCAGGTCAACGCTGGCGCCGTGGGCTGCTGTCGAGACCACCTCCCTGTGTAGAAGAAGAAACAACCACATAAACATAACCATAACCACGTAAACATCACAAGTGAACATAAACATAACATACACATAAACATAACATAAACAGAGCCACACAAATATGAACATACGGGAGGAGAAACAACCACTTGAAAATAAACTGATTGCGCTCCGCGCGGACTTCTTGGATCCGCGCCTGGGCCCCCTCAGCGGCGCCTCCGGCGCCGCCTCCGCGCGCCAGGGAGGGGGGTCCAGGCAGATCCAAGAAATCCGCGCGGAGCGCGAAAAGTTTGTGTTCATGGCGTTGCTTCTGCTTCTACTTTAGCGAGCTCCCTCCTGTCTCCCGCCTCCTCTGCCGCGGAGCTCTCGATGCGACTGTGAGTAGTGCTCAGCGGAGGGGGCACGCTTGGTCCGCGGCCAGTTCTGGCACCTTCTCCAAGATCCGGTCCAGCATGACGCTCAAGTCGTTGACCCTGCACTTCCAGCCCAGAGGCAATGCTATCTCCTGGATGTTGTCACTCTGACTCTACACTCCCCTATCCTCGCTCCCTCCGCGGCCGCCTGCTCATTCTCCCATTCCGCCTCTCCCTTCCCTCCTACGACTCTTCCTCACCCTCCTCTGCTGGCTTCCGCGACCCCTCCTTCCAATCCGTCCCGAACTTTCATTTCTCATCGCCAAAACTTCGCGTCACACCCACAACCTCTGCAACCGTACTCTAACTGACGCTTTCACTGCGACGCCTACATCGGAAGAAATCCGGCGCCGTGCTTTTCGCACCCTTCCTTTCCTCCATCTGCCCCCCATATTTTCTCATCACACGCCGCGGCGCGTGCACGGACTTTAGAAACTCCCAACGATGTGCACCCTGATGGAAACGATCGTGGTTTTTAATGGCAGGGGTTGGCTGCATCTGGCGTGGCCACATGGACTCGTCGATCTGCACGCATTCGTTGAGATGCTGGTGTGTCACATTTACTCCTGCTCGACTCGAACTGTGGATTCAATGGCCGTGGAGGTTCTGGCGCAAGGCCATGCGAACTGCGGACGGACGCGGCGACGGGTGTAATACGAAGACGGCCCCGCACCTCGGACCTCGGCGAGAACATGGAAGCTTCGGGTCTAAGGCGATTGCTCGGGGCCAAGCTGGGCATCAAACTCAGATGTGCCAGTTACATACCCATGCCGACCTGCGACAGCTGTAGCCTTGAGTACAGCGACGGCCGTTCCCTCAGACACGCCTGCTGCACAATATGTCAAAGACGCTTTGGATTTGGGAAGCAACCAGAACACTGTCACAAACACGCCTCCACGTTCTCCACAAGCCAGGTATGCTGGGAACTCGCTTTGGTAACAGCATTGCTACCTCTTGGCGGTCCAACGGAACGAGGTCCCGCAAGGGCCAAAATGAAACCTCGCCCTCCCAGAGGGTCGCCAGCTGCGCACCGGTCGCAATTGTTTGTGGGATTCTGAGAGGTCCCGCAGAACGCGGTCCTGCGCAGTCCCAAACATGAGACCTCAACAACGATAACGATAACGATCACAACGGTCACAACGATCAACGATAACAACAAGGGTAACGACAACGATAACAATGATCAACGACATTGATCAAGGGTAACAACAAGGGTAACGACGACGATCACCACGATCACTATCGTCGCCACATTCGCGGTGTCTTCGCGGTCAAATCAGACCTCGCCCGCCCTGGGGGATGCCAGCTGCCCAAGCGTCGCCACTCTCGTGAGCTCCTGGGGGGTCCGGCGGACGTCCTTCACGGACCCAAACAGACCTCGCCGGCCCTGGGGGGGCTGCCACCTGCGCGGCCGCCGCCAGCTCCGTCGACTCCTCGGAGGCCCAGCGAAGCGAGGCCCCGCGCGGACCCGAAGGGAACCCGGCCGTCCCTGGGGGCTGCCTGCACAACTGCCGCCACGTCAAGCAGGCCAGACGGGCATGTAGGTATGGCGTCCTGCGAGCATCTGGAAGGTCAGAGGAGGCAAGGGCGCCTCGAATAACTCCGCGCTCCCGCACCGCCCCCCAAGAGAGAAAAGGAAGATGAGGAGGAATCGGAGACGAACCGCGAAGCGGGACTACTCCAAATCCCTTATTAATCGACCCCCCCTAGACATAATATTCCGGACCCCCTCTTCGACGGGGCGCCTTAATAAACCCGACCCCTCAGCTCCAATCCAAAGAAAACGAACTCATAAACCGGACCCCCCCAGTTACAAAAAAGGCGTCTTAAAAAACCGGACCCGGGGGACGATTCATGAGGATTTGGGGTACAGTCGGGCCCTCGAGGGCGCCCCGTGGAAGGTCGGGAGAGGAGGGGGGCGGGGGGCGGAGGAGGGACGGAGGGAACCCACTGCTTCCATGGAAGCCTACACCAATCCTGGCCAAGCTCAGATGGGGAAGCCAAAAGACTGGAGGGTTCCAAAGGGAGTGCCCCAGGGGCTTCGCACCCCTTGGATTGCTGAGGTTCCGAGGCACCTGGGGGGCTCTATAGAAACCCCCCTCCCCCAAAATCGGGGCCCCGTAGACCTGGACCCGGACACCCAACATCCCTCGAAACCAATTTTTCCAAACGGCGGCACGAACAAAATACTGCATTAGCATTTCCAGAATTAACTGGGACACAGGCCCCAAAAGCCTGCAAGGCACCCCTAAACCCGGACACAAACCCAAAACTGCAGTGCAGCAAACAAAACATGCACGGGTGCTGAAAAACATGACGCTGTAGGAAAAGATGTCGTGTCCTTGCTTTTCCGTGTCCTGGTTTATCTGTGTCCTGGTCTCCAAGGGCCTGAAAAAAACCCTTTGGAACCCTCCGGAAAGGTACCGCTACCGCTCCTCACGGGACCTCTCCCGGGGCGCGTGCTGGCCAGGATTCCGGGGCGAATCCAGCGGTGGCGACGAGGGCCTCCCAGGAGGCCCACGAAATGGAAAACGAGGGAAAGGTAGGGGTATGGGCACCTTTTCCTCCTCTAACAAGCGATGGGCAATTGGCTGGGGAAACCAAAAGGTACCGCTACCGCTCCTCCCGGGACCTCTCCCGGGGTGCGTTCCGGCCAAGACTCCGAGGCGAATCCAGCGGTGGCGACGAAGGCCCCCCAGGAGGCCCTAGAAGGGGAAAACGAAGGGAAAGGCATAGGCACGGGCACCTTTTTCTGATGGTCCCGTCTTCCACCATCAACACCATATGTAGGACAGGGAGGAGGAGGAGGAGGAGGAGGAGGAGGAGGAGGAGGAGGAGGAGGAGGAGGGATGAGGAGGGAGGAGGGAGGAGGAGAAGGAGGAGGAACTGCCAATCCTCCCGGCTCCTCCGTCCTGCCTGTGCTAGTGGTGGTGGATAATTGGCCCATCATCTTTCGAAAAACGAAATGATTTCCGCGTGGATCATTTTTGGTCTTCATTCCTTGCCCAAAGAACCCTGCGCGACATCCACCTCGAAGTCCGACTTGGCCCATCATCTTCCTCCTCTGACCACCTGGGCCCAGGCTCGGCGCAGCACGGGCCTCCAGCAGCGAGGCTTGCCGCCACTCCCCCTCGGCTCCCCCGGTGGGGCGAAACCTCGGCCCTGCGCGCCCAGCGCGAAGTCGCCAAGGCAGAACGAAGCCGAGGACAAAATCGGGTGAGGATAAGATCGGGCAAGACAGAATCGGGTGAGGACCAGATCGGGCGAAAATCTGCTGACCTGGGTCAAGCCAGACCCAGGTAAGTCAGGCGTTGCCAGGAGCCTGCAGGATCCTGCCGGATCCTGGGCTCCCGGATACCTCGGGCATCTCTGAAAACGAGCAGCTCTGGAGGGTGTCTCGGGCGCCGCGGTCCTCTCAAGGCGTTCTGGCACGCTCCGAGAGCTCTCCGGAGCGCTCTGGAACGGACTCCTCCTCGCCCTGGCCCCACCCGGCAGGGTGCTCACGTCTACGGCCTGCGAGGGCGGGACGGACCATGACCGATGGAGCCATCGCCGACGCCAGCTGCACGGCCTCCAACGCTGTGGACGGGCCGTGGAAACACGTGTACACGACGCTATCCAGAGCTGCGACGTCCGACGCTCTGCTGATGATGCGCGGCCCGGGGATGGAATGTCTTTCCCATGGGACGCCCGCGGACTTGGCAAGGTCGCGCCCCCACGGAATCGTGCCGGAAGCAAGCCGAAAGGCTGGCGCATGGGAGCTCGGCTCTGCTCGCTTCCTGCGCGAGGCGTGGCAGACAGTCCACCCATCATCGCATTCCGTCCTCCCCGGCACGTCGTCGTCCGCGTGCCTCAGATTCCTCGTCATGGTTCCTCCTTGTTCGAAAGGCTGGCGCATGGGAGCTCGGCTCTGCTCGCTTCCTGCGCGAGGCGTGGCAGACAGTCCACCCATCATCGCATTCCGTCCTCCCCGGCACGTCGTCGTCCGCGTGCCTCAGATTCCTCGTCATGGTTCCTCCTTGTTCTGATCCTGCTGCCCTCTCGTTGTCGTCGTTCTCCTCGTCTGGCTGTTCTTCCTGCTCGGTGTCTCATCCCGCTCCAAACCTCCGCCCCCTTCCTGCCCTCCTCCATTCTCCCCCCGCCGTCGTCCCGTTTCCAGACTCTCTCTTCTCGTTTCCTGGCGCCCCCGGGGCGCTTTTTCTTTCCACAAGCCAGACTGTTCTGGCAAACGAACCCAGTGGAAGAAACGTCGATGCCCTATTGTTTCGCGTTCAAGCAGAGTGTGCGGACAACTCGCAAATGTGTACTGCTTAACGCTGAGCATCACGTGCAAATTCTGTTTGTGCGAATGGGACCAGCCGTATTCGATTCGAAGCTCAGGGTGGGGTGGTCATGATGAGTTTAACTGAGGGCCCCCCTCCCTTGTCCCACCACTGGCGCCCCATGTAGCGAACACTGTACAGTGCACCGCATTGAGTGCACATGATGTGCCGTTGCATATAGTAGGTGCCATGTGCTGTGCGCCATGCAGATTGCACCGTCTAGCTCCATCCACCTAACTTGCCTTTGGGGGAGGTTCCTGCTACTGTCATGATCTTGAGATAATATGAAGCCAAACGCTGCTATTCTCAGGCCGTCCAGTCTGGTGTGCGCTGTGAATTTGGATGACCACCAAACACTGCTAGAACAATTGTTTACATGTTTTGCGCAATCCCACCAGCCCTCTGGGCGTATGTGGTCTAGAGAGTTTCCTCTTCCAACCCCCTTCTTCCCCTTCGGGGAAGGGCTTACCACTGCTCCTTATCAATATACACCCCCTCCCCCACGCGGCCGGCGTCCAACCAGGAATCATTGCGACACCATGCCGACCACATTTCGAGCATGCGCGGCCAACCCGATGCGGCCCCCCCACCCTCCCCGTCAAAAAACAATGCAAAGTACACTTTGGGGCAAAGTCTTGACTCATGGTCGTGAGGCCCGCGAACACTTCGTATTGCTCTTGACAGGGGCGGCGGGGGTGCCAGCATATTCCCTGCCGTGCGCAGGGCTACCATCCCTGA